CGTGCCAAGCGTACCGCGGGCTGGAGGTGGGGGCTGCCACACAGTCCTCACGCTCAGCCTGCGCGTCAGGCGTGGGGCAACTCCCCTTGCCTCATCGGGAAGGCAGCCCCGGTGCTGCCGACTCGGCACTGCCAGGTCTGCGTTTGGCTGGGGACGGAGCCAGAAAGATGAGGTGATGGGGAGGAAGGGGAAGGGAACATCAGGTGAGGAAGAGAGGAGAACTGGTGATCCATTGCACCAGCCACCAGCTGTCCCCCAGCAAGCCCCTGGAGACCAGAATAAATGCCCCACACCGGCACAGCGAGTGGGGCCAGAGCGGGAACGCCGGCCCTGGGCTGCTTGTTGGGAAGTGGCTACTCCCTTGGGACGCCAGCAGTGCTGGGGTGCGGAGAGCGAGGTGACGGGGTGATGTACCCCGGCAGCGGGGCTGGCCTGAGGTGGCTGCGGGGATACAGCCCGGGTTTAAGCTCACGCCTGGGATGCTGCGTGCGGATAAAGCCACACGCGTGAACCGTGCGGAGGCGTCACGTCACCCACAGCGGTCTGCGTGCCTGGGGGCTGGCACCGACCCACGACCAGGGCATGGGATGCGATGGGGTTCCTCCGTCTCTCAAGGAAGTGGGTGCCCCGCTGAGGCCCCACACGGAGAGGAAGCAACATCCCGGGCTAGAAAATGCCGCGTCAGTGCCCGTAAAGGGTTCAGAGTCAGCACTTTCACCCTGGAGCAGAGACCACGTCCGGTAACTCCTGAGCGTCAGACTCCTCCTTGTGTGTAACCCTTCTTCTCTGTAAAGCCCAGCCTGCACCGAGGAACTTGCGTCACAATTTACACCCTGGTGTAACTGAGTAGAGAGCATGGCCAGTGCTGGGAGGATCAGACCCCTCCGAACCTCTCATCATCCTGCAGGACCCATAGGAAAGCATTTACAGGAGGGGCAGCCAGCAGACCCAGAGCCAGCTGGCCATGCTTGGTCCAACACGGCCGTGAGAGGCCCCTTGAGGCACCAGTGGCCTCCAGCCATGGAGCTGCATCTCCTTGGGGTCTACAAAGGGGCTTGGGGCTGGTATTAGGGTTTCTGGGCTAGTGAAACAGAGCAGGTCCTGCTTGCCCGTGGTGTAGGTGGGATGGGAAGTGGGACGATGTTCCCCAGCTCCCGTGGGGGAAGTCCAAGGATGGGGGGCTGGTGGTGGCATCTCATTTGTGTCATTTGGGCCTGTCCCTGCTGATGGATCTGGAAAAGGACTGGAAATCTTGAAGTCTTGGGTGTGAAATTCAACCCCAACACAGCAGAAAAGGGTCACTGAGGAGGCAGGTCACCCCAAACAGCCTCCTCAAGCAGCGTGCAGCCTTGGATGGTGGCTGGGACCAGCCTCCTGGGAACGGGTCATATGCTGCTTTGGTGGAGGAGGGAGAGTCCAGACACAACAAGCAGCAGCCTTAGGGGCACTGACACAGAACGCTTCCCGTGGGGCTCCCAGGACTCAGTTTTGGGCTGATGGATGCGAGCAGTGCCAGTGCCTGGCTCTGGGGACAGACACTGCGTCTCTTTTTGTTCAGGGACACGGCTGTGGTGGAGACTCAGGTGAGGATCATGTACAGAGATGCTCATTGTTAATGAGTTAATCATCAGGGTCAGCAACAGCTGAAGGTTAATCATCTTCCTGGGACCTACAAAAGGAGATAGAGGCCAGTAGCTAGGCTTGGCTTGGTGAGGGGGAGTTTCTTTCTGCTGTAGTTGTGTTTTGGGGATGCTCCTGAGATCCTGCTGTTCCCTGGGATGGTTCCTCTTGACAGCCTGGGACACCCCAAGAGCCAGAAGGTGGGCTGTCCCTTTCTCTCTCTCTGAGGTGTCCTTCCTCCAGCTGGCTGTGGTTTCCCTCTGTGGGACCTGGAGAGGACTGAGCTATGCAGCTCTACCTGGATCATGCACTTGGCGCCTGGCTGGAAGCAGATCTTGTTGTGTGCTCTGTGGCTGTGGTGTGCCAGTCCTTGGGCTCTGCCCTGGGACCTTGTCATGGTCACTGACATACCTGGGGGTAACTGAGACCTGCTGGGTGCTCTTGTCCAAGTCAACCCAGGTTCTGCTTTAAGCTGTGTGAGCAATGTTTTCTGCTGAGTGCTGCTCTGGAAATGTCTGATGAGGCTGCTGGGGTGCGAAACTGTTGTGGTATCTGGCCTCCAATCTTCCTTCTTGTTGTTGGGCTGCATATGTGGGTTATGGGGAAGGCAAGGTCCCCATTCCAAAGTTAATTGGGCAGACTGGTGCTGCAGCATGTATGGGAGTGGGGGTTTCTCTGTTGTCTCTTGTGGCTCCTCAGGAGCCAGCCCCAGACAGTTGGGGCTAGAAACCCACCATGTTGTGAGCACAGCACAAAAGTGGAGAGGGTCACATCACTGCTTTGGTTTGCGTAGGAGAGAAATTGGAAGGATCCCTTTAACTGAAAGCTCCAAAGCAATTGGGCAGGGAGGTGTGGGCTTTGGGTGTGGACAGCTGTTTGCTGCCAGTGTTTGCCATGGAGGAAGGCTCCTTGCCCTGAGCAGGCAGCACGGGGCGGCAGAAGTAACCACCCATGGGCAGGGGCGATTTGTGGCTCCCTAAGGGCTTGTTCCAGGGGAGCTGTGAGTTCAGTCACATCCAGACACAGCCTGGAGGCTGAACAGATTCTGAGAAGCTCCCCCTCCACAACGGCATCTGTTATTTTTCTAAGATTTAAAAAGAAAAAACCAACCAAAAAGCCTTGCGACGCGTGCGTAGGTGTGGGGACCATGCTGTCACCACCGTGACTCACTGGGGAGGTCTGCAATTTCCGAGAACAGAAATGATCGAGGGAGAAATTGTGAATGATTTCTTGCAGAGGGGTGGCTGAGCGCTCCACCAGAGCAGTAGCCAAATTTTGGTTCCTCCTTAGGGCTGGCTTGTTAACAAAGAAGTTATTAATAACCAATTAAGCCAGAGCTCATGTCACGCCTTCCTCTGGAAGCGTGGCAAGAACATCCGCGGTTCCTTCTTCGGCACCGTACCCACCCTGCTCCTTCGGCTGGAGGAGCGCGAGGGGCTGGTTTGGGGAGGTGCCTTGTCCCCATGGGGCTGCTCTGTGGGGACATGCTGAGGGGACAATTCCCAGGCAGGGACGTGGGGGACCACTGGTGCAGAGGTGACTTGGGACTTGGTTTTGGTGCGTTTGGCTTTCTTTGGCTGAGCTCACGGTGCCGAGGGGAGCGAGCGTGCAGAAGAGGAGCCCGGTGTGGCAGGGTTTTGGTCAGTGCCCTGGCAGGTGGGGGGGGGGCAC